CGGCCCGCGGACGGGAGCGGACCCCCCCCGCCGTCCATGGATGCTCTGCTGTTGTCTGGCCCCGGTTTGGAGGCGGCCGATAGCCGACTGCTGCGTGGCTGGGAGCAGGAGATAAGTTTGATCATCGAACGGTTCCGAGTTGGGCGCCTAAAGACAAACCACCGACGGCGGAGGAGGAGCTCCGGGACGGCACCCGAGCTGGGCACCCGCCGTCCCTCCCGCCCTCCGCAACGCTCACCCCCATGTACGCTGCCCTTCCCCGCCTCCGTCCCCCCCGAGCTGGCCCCGCCACCCTCCGGTGTGCAGAGGGACCCCGAATCCCTCTGAAGGCCGTTCCTGTGGTCTCGGCAATGGCTGGGGGCTGCAGGCAGGACCCTGCTCCCTCCTCGTCCCCAGCCGGAGGGTTCAGGGCACAGCCGTGTTGCATCGGGGCCGGGAAGAGGCCGCGTCGGGGAGTTTTCCCCGCGCTGGCAGGCGGTCGGGGCGCAGCGGAGGGATGGAGCCACGCTCCGCAGAGCAGGGATGCTGCGGGACGGGGAGGGAGGCTGCCGGGGGGGAGAGCGGCACAGTCGGTGAACCGGGAGCGGGAAGAGATGCTTTGCATCCTGCTCTGGGTCAGCTTCGCTCCCTGCTCCGGAGCTACGGCAGCTCCCTGCCCCGCTCCGGGCTGCAGGGCGCCATCGGGGTAGCTGAGAAAGGGCGACTCTCAGAAGAGGCTGGGAGAGCTGGGGCAGCTCAGGCTCGCAGAGGCTGAGGGACGCGACCTCCAGCTATAAATACTTCGGAGATAAACGCTGGGGAGGGAGAAGAATTACTTAAGCCGAGAGGCAGCGTTGGCAAAAGCACAGACGTGCGCGAGCGAGCCCCGAGGACGCTGCAGGAGGAGGAGGTTCCTCTGCTGGGGCCAGAAAGGCTGATTTTAGGGTTAGGCAGTTGCGGTGCGGTGCCCCGACCTGTGGCGGGGATCGCAGGGAAGGTCTCTCTCTTCCTGGCCGGCTTTTCTGTGCTTGTGCTGAAGCCAGGGCTTTGGAGGCAGCCTGCTGACTCGGATCAAGGGAAGGGGAACATCTTCCAGCACACCGGTGCCTTCAGGCCGTAGCCGGCTGCCGCGCTCTCGCGGCCGGCACCCAGCGGCTGTGTTCAATCCTTCTCTGGCAGGAATCGGCAGAGCCCTGAGCACCGGGTATTGTCGCCTCTGCCACGGGAAGTTCTCCTCCAGGAGCCTGCGCAATGCTTTCGGGAAGGTGCCTGTGATGGGGGAGAACTCGGAGAAGCAGCGCCGCGTGGATCAGGTCTTCTTCACCGACTTCCAGCGGCTGGTCGGCGTGGCGGTGCGGCAGGACCCCGCGCTCCCCCAGTTCGTCTGCAAGAAATGCCACGCGCAGTTCTACAAATGCCGCAGCGTCCTCAGGACGTTTATCCAGAGGGTGAACGCGTCGCCCACGGGCCACGTAAAGTCGAAAGGAAAGTACGTTGTCTTTCTTTCTTCCCGGGAGTTATCGAGAGTCGTCAGTTGATGCATGGTTCCTCCGTAACCCCCGAGACCCCACCGTGCTCTTCTGGCTTTTGCAGGAGCGGCGCAGCGCAGGCCCAGCCGGGCACGGAAGGAGGTGCCTCCTGTCTGGGTGAGTGCCCGCTCCCGGAGCCGCTTTCCTTTTCTTTCTGTGATACCATCGAGGCAGGGCTGGGTTTTATGGGCGTCGAGGAACGACCACCCGGCAGGGCAGTTCCCGCGTCCCTCGGCACAGCCGTGCCCCGGCTCTGGCCGGTTACGGTTCCCCCTCCTCTCTCCACCATGGGTTACTGGGAGGATCCTCACTGGCACCGGCCTCCCTGAGCTGAGCTGAACAGGCGCAGGCTCACGCTGGGGGTACGAAGAGCAGGCGGAGCGGGTTTGGGTGGCAGTGCCGGGCCTGTCCCAGCCGCCGTGGGGCAATCGGAAATACAGTTTCAGCTGTAAAATACAATTTCGGCTGTAAAATCAATGCTCCTGGCAGTGGATGGGACTGCCCCCGCCCCAGTCCCTCTGGCTGCAGCGCCTTTAGGGTGTCTCCCAGCTGCCCTCTGACGCAGAAGTCCGGCACGGCCCTGGGGGGAGCGGGTCCGCAGCCCTGTCCCCTTCCGTCCCTCCCTGCGGCCGGCCGTGCCCCTTGCCGGCCCAGGGGCCTGACGGTGCGCGCGCTGCCTCTCCCCTCCGCCAGTCGACCTGATCACCTCCAGCCCCCAGTGCCTGCACGGCCTGGTGACGTGGACGCACGCGCACGCCGGGAGCTGCCCGTCGGCGCCCAGCCTGCAGAGCGTGCTCTCCTCCGAGTACTGCGGCATCATCCGCGCCGTCTGGGGCTGCGGGGACGGGCACGACTACGTCATGGATACGGATTCAGACTGTAGCACGGTGCTCGTCGACAACGCCTTGTCCGTCAAACGGGAGTGGAACAAGAGCACGGCACAGCGCTTGACTGACAATGGGGCAGACAATGCCGAGGCTGTTTCTGCTCCCAAACCCCAGCATGCTCCAGCAAGGACAACTCCTTGCCAGCAGCCCGCAAACAAAGGGACCACATCGGTGCCGCTGAACGTGGAGAACGAGCCGTCGCAGAACAGGGATTCATCTCACTCACAACTGGACAGCACGGCCTCCTTACAGGAGAAAGCCCTGCCGCAGCCCGTGTCGCCACTGAGCAGTGCCACAGGTAAGGGATTTGCCTTCCGATCGCCCTCCTCCAGGCCTCTGGGGAAGGGCAAAGAGCCTGAGCGTGGGCCCAGGGAGCAACGGTGGGGCCGGGCCCCCTCCTGGGAGGCTGCGGCTCCTCAGGGAGGACGCAGACCCCGGCTGGGGAGCACAGGTTGCCCAGAAAATCACCTCTGATAGGGGACGCTGAGCCTTGCGGAAGGGAAGGGGGAACACGGGTGCAGCCGACCACGTCGCACAAAAAGAGCCGGTCTCCTCGCCCCGTGCGCTATTTCCCTCCCGATAGAGGGGCCGAGACTTGGCCGCTCCTTAGCAGGCTGCGCCCGGCTGGCGAGACCCTGCTGCCTTGCCCTTGCCGGGGGCCGTGTGCCCATTGAGCGGTGCAGAACGGTCGCTGATTCTCCAGCACCGTGTTTGCCAGGTGTTTCTTTCTGCTCAATCCAAACCCCGTCCGGGTGCCGGCAGAGAGGGGTTTCTGCAAAGGAAAGTTTCCGGGCAGGCTTGCTCATGGGCCGAGTTAGCGTGGGTTTACTGCTGAACTCCCCCAAATGCCGCTTCCAGAAGAGAGGAATCAACACCGATTTTGAGTTACGGAAGTCGAGCTGTGTTTAGCTTTGATGGCCATGGGAGATGTCCTCTGGAAAGAGGAACGGCAGCTGGGGCTCACCTGGGGACCAGCCTTTCAGTTACGGAGCAGGCGGCAGGGGGGAAACCAAAAGCTGTTTGTGAGAGCTGCAGGATAAAGGCTCTCCGTCCCTGGGGCGCAGGGAGAGCGGTCTCCGAGCACACGAGACACGGAGTTTGGTGTAAATAATCATTAACTTGTCGTGGAGCGCGTGTTTTCACACGGTACGAGCCGTCACGAGTGACCCCGGAGCGGTTGGTTCCTTCTCGGCAGCTGTCTCCGCCGGCTTGTTTCTGCTGCCTTTCCTTGTAACGCACCGTGTTCTCCTTCATTCCCTAGGACAGTTGAGTGGGAAGCAGGTTCTGTCTGCAACGTCGGATGAGCGGGTAAAAGACGAGTTCAGTGACCTTTCTGAGGGGTGAGAGAAGAGTGGGTTTAAAATAGCCTAAATGTCTTCTTTGCGAGTATGAAATGACCCGCCTCGGAGAGCTCTTTCTCCACGAGCGACCCGGCCCTCGAGGCCCCTCGGAACCGGCGTCGGAGGCGCGGAGCGGTGGCTCTGCAGCGGCTGTGATGAAGCTCACGCCGCTGACGCGCTGAACTCCCCTCCCCGCTGCCTCTGCTGCGGGGGGGGGGGGGGGGGGGGGGGGGGGCGGTTTGCACAGCGGCGCGGGCGCGTTTGCACGCGCGCGTGCTCTCTGTCGGCCGCTTCCAGCAAACCTGGTCCCGTTTTGTTCAAGGACCTTCTGCTCTGGGGAAGGAAACACGCAGGGGGCGGTGGCGGAGCTGCTGCTCCAGCCCCTCGCCGGGGCAGGCTCCTGCCTTGCCCGGGAGCGATTCCCCTTCACGGCGGCTCCGGGAGAGCGGGCGGGGCGGGGACGCAGGCAAGGGGGGGGACAACGCAGGCAAGGGGTGGCACGCGGAGAAATGGCCTCATTCGCTCACAGGGAAAGCGATGAAGCGGGAGTGGGAGGGACACGGGCAGCTTAGCAGTCTTTATGATCAAAGATTCGGCTAAATCCTTCAAACATAGGTATTTAAAGCGAGGCTTGTAAATAACCGATAATTGAGTCCAGTCATTCTGAGTCTAAAGTACCAAAATAGCCCAGTGCAGACTTATTTCAGTGTGTCAGCTAAATCTGTCAGCTGTCACATTAAAAGTGCCACAAGAATTTATTGCCTCTTTCCTGGCTTCAGAATTAATCGCTTCTTGTACGGCTTAGAACTTAAAAGGAGGAAAAAGAAAAACCCAAACCTATGTGGCTGCTACGTATGAGGAAATAGAGAATGACCTGGGCCAGACAATTATATTGCATTCTTGCTCATCCCTCAACAACGAGTAGATCTTTTCATAACAGCCGGTATTTTGTCCTCCTGACAATGGTTCGGTTATTCTTACAGAGATCTAGTCCGAAAAGGACCTGATTTTTGCTATTTGCTGTGTTTACTGGCGCTGTATTTGCTTGGGGAAATTACGGGGGAGGAGAACACGTGGAGCCTCGGCTGCCGTGCCGTGGGGGAGATGGTGCGCTGGGAATGAAGAGCACGTGTTGCTGCAGACGCTGGTGCTGAAGTGCCAGTCCGGTGCTGTGGTGGTAAAGGGCATCTTCTCTCTCTCAGGGACTTCTTGAGTGACGATGAAAATGAGAAGAGAAACGTGCAATCTTCAGATGACTCCTTTGAGCCGTACCCCGAAAAGAAGTAAGGGGCTTACTGCGTGGCTAGCAGAGCTCTCTGCGGATGAGCGGGTTGGCGGGGCTGGGCTCAGCTGGACCAACACTGTCGCTTTCCTTTACGGCCTCGGTTCCCTCCCCATCCCTGCCCGGAGGCCGCGGTGCTGCCCCAGCACTCTGTTCCCTCAGCTCCCCGTCGGGCTGAAGCCGGGCTGCGTCCCTCGCCCTCAGGCCCGGCACTAATTGCCGCGGCG